GGAGAAGTAATTTTCCTTTCTTACAGGACTTTGTTGTGGTTGTGCATTTTTCCTGAACCTTGAGGACTGCCTTAAAAGCATTGCTTGAACATTGCCACATGACTGATTTTACAACCAGCAACATTTGTCACGCCTAAAATGACAAGGCAGTATTAGCATTTAACAGCTTTTCTGTGTGATATGTAAGCTGTTTTACTAGTTATGTAGCAGTGATATCAGTAAGCTGTTATGTTTTGTATAAAGATACAGAGAACTAGGAGCTTCCCATCTGAAAATGGGGATGCCTGTGAGGAAGAAAGAGTATTAATATGAGTCAGAAGGGGCTAAATAGCACCTTTTGTGACAACTTGCATCCTGTGACTTTTGTTAAGTATTTCACACATATAAGTGACAAGGATAGAAATTGAACATGCACATTTTCCAAAGCATAACTTAAATAAAATAGTATATAATATTAAAGCAAGGCAGTTGTTAAAAACATGCTTTTTAAGGATGTATTGTGGGTTTTCATGGTCTCTGACATTTGACACTTGCCTTTCATTGTCTCAATACAATAATCTTGATGGAGTTTCTTTTATGAGCCTAAATTTTGAGTTTTAGTATGCATTTATTAGCCTTAAGTTTTGCATCTTAATAAAAGTCTGAGATATGTTCCCCAAAACATTTTGCGTACAAAAGTAATGGTATGGATCTCTTAAAATTCAGTAGTTGTTCTGGTAAACTCATGATGACTTAACTTTTAGAGTATTACTGATACAGAGGTCACAGTTTTGCTGAGGTGATGAGACCTTTCCTTCTTGCTCTTATTCCCTTGTAATAAGCAGTTTGATTGTTAGAGGCAAGGCGACAACTTTCCCTCTGTATGGGCGCAAGGGATGATGTTTAGATTGCTGTGGGACTCCAGAAGAGATGCTGCTGCTCAGGACAGTCACTTAGACCTTATGATTTTGCTCTGCTATGTAAATAGATATGTGTTTATATTACAGAGCCTGACCCTATTAGTTGCAAAACAAATATGAGATATGAAACAATGTTTTTCAGAAGATTTCAGATCCAGAAGTGTCATTAGTATCTATACTGACTCCTGAAATGGGGAGAAAAATTGAGCTTCTGCAAGAAGAAAAAAAAAAAAGCTGGGCAGATTCTCTTCAGTGTGAATCTGGATGTTCAGGACAGCTAGTTAGCTGTGCTGGTACTGCAGAACACTCGTATCAAAGGGAACCCTAATGCAGCTACACTGTGTCTTAGCTGGGTTTGAGTCATGTAGTTTGGAAGAGGTTGGTCTTTCTTCTTGAAAAGCAGTTCAGCTGTGCAGCTACTGAAGAGGATTGAACTGAGCTGGCAGTCATGGCCCGGATCCCTGCACTCCAACTGGCTGACATGGGGATGTGACACTGTACCTTCCTGCTGCCTCTGGGTGAGGTGCAAGGCGGTGGGTTGTCAGCTCCACTCTTTCAGCCTAGGTGAGGAACCTTGTGACCCACCGTAAGGTAATAAATACAGCATGAATCCAGAAAGGTCAAAGTCATGACCTGGTGTTTTGCAACCATGCCTGGTGTTTTTCCTGGGTAGTGGGACTCTAGGGAAAATAACTCATTCAGTATAAATGCAGCATTATTCTCAAAAGTAGTAATTTAATTTTATACAACAAATCAAATTGTATTGCTTCTGCTTCTTCTTTCTCCCTCCCTCCAAATGTAACCGTTTCATTCAGCATTACCACATCAAGACTAGTTGACAAGAAACAACTGGAGTATTTGCAATTATTTTAAACAGTAGAGATTTGTTTGCTGCTGTCCCTAGAGGTCTAAAATGCTCTTTCTTTGCCTCTTAAAATCGTGTTAGTCTTACTTTCTCCATCATTGTGAGGGTGATCATGTTTCTGTTCCTCTCATTAAGTCAAAAGCTGTCTCGATTGTTTTTAGTTTCCAGACCAGTCACTTCTCATGTAAAAACAAATCCTGCTTCCTCCAGTTTAAGTATGAATAATTACAGCAAACAGGTTTTGACCTATATAAGTAAAGTAAAATATTACCAAAGTTTTGCTTTCACATTTTATTTCAAAGGTGAAAAGGAATATCAGGACTAACTAACTGAGGTGGATTTTGCATTTGCACGCTGTCTGAAATGAGAAGTGCTCATCTAATAGATATTATGATGCATTTCATGTACTACTAAATGTATTACTAAATAAGTTTTGTATTTTTCTGTTTGTTGGTCTGTTATTAGGATCCATACTATAGATTTAATGACGTGATGTACAGATGGATCTCACTGGATAACTGGACTTACAGCAGGACATTCAAAACTCCTTTTGATGTCAGGTATGCGGTAAAGATATGTCTAAAATAGTTCTGTGCCATCTTTCATGCAGAATTGTGAATTAATACATCATCTCAAAATCTGCTTAATACTTTTGTATCTAATAAACAAATTCTGCAATTATGTGCAGCTGCAAATCTTTTGCTAGAGGACACTTCAGTAGTTCAGTAGTTGCTTTTTCCTATCTTTTTAATTGTTAGAAATTACTTATGAATTGCCAACTAAGGAAGGATAATACTGAGGCTAACTGGAAGCTGGCCCATCTGATATCTAGTGGGTACGTGAACATGCTATGTTGCAGCCTTGGGCCACTTCAACTGTCATCTTAATTTGACTATTTGTAGATATAATGTAGCCACAGTAAGTCAAACATTTTTGGAGGCAGTTGAGACAACTGCTACTAAAGATAATGGTGACATACTTTTTTGTATTGTCTGTCTCCTGTGTGTTGTTAACTCTAGGTATTCTAACACGTTTTTATGTGTGTGTTATCTTCTGTAGAAAGTGGCAGAAAGTGAATTTGGTTTTCGAGGGAGTAGATACCGTAGCAGAGATCCTGATCAACAATATCACTCTTGGGAGAACGGACAACATGTTCAACAGATATGTAAGTAATGTGTTTATTTCTGAAGGTGCATATGTTTTTTCTCCAAAATCCTTTTGTTTTGAGCACTTTCAGTGCATTCAAGTAGACATAAAAATAGGTGCTTGGATGCGGAAAGTGTTGACCTGAGGACTACATGTATAATCAGATAACTGTTATAAAGAGAAGTGTCCTTACCTTTTCAGTAGCAAGAGGGTCAGATCTAGAGGTGAATGTGTCTTGTTCTAAATGAGTGGACCCATGCAAGAGGATCAGTTTGGCTAATAATATAAGTCTTGCTTCTTGGGATCTGTCACAGTTCCAAGAAAATCTAAGCTTAAATGTGTTATATGAGCTGTAAATCTGCTTACTTATTGGTGTTAGAATGGTTCACATGTGAATACTGAAATTAAAATGCGTGTGTTGCAAAGCCTTTGTGTTTCCATGCTTTTTTTTAGATAGGGTTTTTGATTTTTAATATTGGGCTTTTGATAACATTGTCTTGTATTTTTGGGCTTAGCCTATGTCAGCATGACAATACTCATCATGGAATGAATGATCTTGAGAGTGGCAAAAACACTCAGACTAATTTTATAGCTTTAAAATATAAAATTATTCCGAGCACGAGCATAAGGGACAATCATTGCTTTTGTCTTAAAAGAATCAAAAAAGGAAAAGTGAAGGGAAGAATGTCAGTGGAATAACTGAGTTATGAAGGAAATCTGGTGTCTTCATATCTCAGCGTTTACCATTCTGTCAGGTTTTATTGCAGAGGTACTGGCCTGAGACAAGAGAGCTAGATTCTGCTATCTGGGTCTCTGTGACCTGGGACAAATCACTTAGTTTCTCTGTGACTTAGTTTTACCATCTCTGAAATAAGAAATTTCATAGAGCTTTTATGAAATTGTAATTATTTACTATTTGGAGAGTATCTAAAGGATCACCAGTAGCAGGCTCTGTAGAATTGGGAAGTGATATTATTTTGCTCTTGTTTCTGCAACTTCATTCTGTCTCAGATTGTAACAGTTCGTGAAATGGCCTTCACTCTAAAACCAGAGTGAACTGTATTAGATTAAGTCTAGGATTACTGTGACCCAGACTTCTGCTTTGCTCACTTGTTCCACGTGACAACTACATCTGCAGGAAGGACTCTGTGAAGGCTCTCTATGGGGGGTGCTATTTGCTTTTAAATTTCTGCTGTACACTACAGACATAAGTGATGCTAGCTGGGCTGCTCACAAGGTGGAAAAAATTGCCAAGACTTGGCTTGTCACAAAGAAACACTGTGAAGAAGAAATGGGTATTAGCCATTGGAACCATATTATCTTGATAGCACAGGATAATTCTGAAACCAAGCATTTATCCTTTTATCCAGCCACACTTAAGGGGATTTTGTGACACAGTGAGGAAGCCCCCAAATACTTTATTTGGTGCTGGCATAGAATGTATATCTGTACATTTTGGGGATGAGGGTGCAGGTGGCATGAAATACAGCTTTGCAGCATTCCT